ATGAATGACAAATGATATGATCACTCTAGCCATATCTCACCCTAGGAAAAAAAAAAATGAATGGAATTTTCTGTTCCCAGACCAAAGATGTGAGAATTAAAATAAAAACAAATATGGCATGACTTTTCCTTATATCTGTGAAGCCACACTCAGTCCCAAGAAATTACTAGAGAAACTTATTTCAGAGTCTGCACTTTACTCCAGGCAATATTAATCTGATCATTTACAAGCTGGTGTCAACTATTCTTTTTGTTGTTATCTTAATGTCATTTCATTTAGATCTTATGGAATCAAAAAATACATATTTATTAATTTTCAAATGCTCAGAAAGACAAAAGAACAGTTCTGATCATATGGGAGAATAAGAGATATCCCCTTCAGCCCTTAATTCTTACTATTTTTTAAGCATAACTTTAAATTTAAATGATTTCTTCTAAAAGCCATCAAGGTCTTTTTATTCACCTTACTGACTGAATGAGAGTTGCACCTAGCTAACTCTGTAATTTTTTTTTTTACTTTTGTTTATGGTACTTTTTAAAAATAACTTCATTTTTTTAGTCAGTTTTTAGGTTCACAGTAAAAATGAGCAGAAAGTACAGAGTTCTGGGCCTCATGGCAGAGTGAGAAAACCTCTTGGTCTCTCCACTTAGAGTTACAACAGGTTGGACAGCTCTAATTCAACAAAGGATTCCCTCATCAACACACAAACACGTCTGAGAGACCTGAGCACTGAGGCATCTGAAGATGGGTGTATCAGAGCGAGCAGGGGAGGCAGGATGGGAGGCAGAACAGAGTTGGAAGATGCAGACGTGGCCCCGCCACGGCCTCTGTGGACATGGCAGAATAGAGGGTCAGGTTGCAGCTTCCACTCAGAAGCCCAGAGAGGGCCCAAGAGGCAGAGGCAACATTCCGGCCTGAGTGGCCAGTACAGACTGTGGTTAAACCCAGTGAAAAACACAGCCACAGATGCGCGAACCCACCTCTCCCTGGCCACCCTTCCCCACCCATTGCAGAGGAACCCAGTAGAAGCAACTGGAACATCTCAGATAGTACAGTGGAGCTGATAGCCTATGGTTGCTGGGTGGCAGTGCTGGGAACTTACAGGCCCAAAGCCCCAACACCCACAATATCCCACGAGGGGGGTGGTGCCATGACCGACATGATGCCCACCTCCTTGGAGAATATGGGGCACATTCCACAGCCCAGGTGACACCACCCCAAAGAGATCCTGAAAGTCCCAATAGTGCAGGTAAGGGAAAACAAAGATTTGCTACACTACTATCTACTGGAAAACAACAGAAAGACCTCTATTTATCAACCTGCTAACTGGTTAAAAGCAAAATAGTACCTAACCATGAATATTTCAATTCCTCAAGTGCAATGGCAAAGAACTAATCTATCAACTACCATGAATAACCAAGGTTAACAAGGTAACTCAGATAGACAATGAAAAGTCTCCAGAAAATAAACTCAAAGACATGGAATACATGGAAGACATGATTTAAATGACAGAGGATTCAAGGTTGCAGTTCTGAAAAAACGCAATGAGATACAAGAAAACTGAAAAAGGAAGTTCAATGAGCTCAGGAATAAAATAAAACAACAAAAGGAGTACTTTACCAAAGAGACTGAAACTATAAAAAAGAACCAAACAAATTCTGGAGGTGAAGAACTCAATAAATGACATGAGGAATGAATTAGAGAGCTTAGGAAACACAGCAGACCAGATGGAAGAAAGAATTAATGATCTTGAAGATAGAAATCTAGAAAGGACTCAGGTGGAAAAAGAGAGAAAATTGAGAAAAAAATACATATTGAAGTGCGAAACAAAGAAATACTAGCAAATCGAATACAATACATTAAAAAAATAATACATTCAGATCAACTTGGGTTTAATCCAGGGGAGCAAGTATGGTTCAATATACACAAATCAATATACCACATTAACAAAATTAAGGATAAGAATCATTTGATCATATCAATAGATGCAGAAATTATATGATCATTTGATCACATCAATAGATACAGAAAAAGCTTATGACAAGCTACAACGTCCATTTATGATTAAAAGACTTAATGAAATTCATATAAAAAGAAAGTACCTTAACATAATAAAACCATAAATGACAACCCTCAGCTAATATCACACTGAATAATGAAAAACTGGAAGCTTTTCCTCAAAGATGAGGAACAAGACAAGGATGGCCACTCATGCCACTGTTATTCAGCATAATACTGGAAGTCTTAGCTAGAGCAATCAGGCAAGAGAAAGAAATAAAAGGCATACAAATTGGGAGTGAAGAAGGAAAACTATCACCATTTGCAAATAACATGTCTACATACACAAAAAATCCTAAAGACTCCACCAAGACTATTAGAAACAGTAAAAAACACTAAAGTTGCAAGATACAAAAATCAATGTACAAAAATCCATTGTTTTCCTATATACTAACAACGAAATGTCAGAAAAAAGAAATGAAGAAAGCAATCCCATTTGTAATTGCAACAAAAAGGGTAAAATGTCTAAGAATAAACTTAACAGAGGAAGTGAAGGTCCTATACACTGAAAACTACATGACATTGTTGACAGAAATTAAAGAAGACACAAAAAAATGAAAAAATATTCTGTTTTCATGGATTGGAAGAATCAATACAATTAAAATGACCATATTACCTAAAGCAATAGACAGATTTAATGTAATCCCCATCAAAATCCCAATGGCATTTTTCAAAGAAATAGAACAAAAAATCATCAAATTTGTATGGAACCACAAAAGACCCTGAATAGCCAAAGTAATCCTGAGAAGAAAAAAACAAAGGCATAGGTATCACACTCCTTTACTTCAACTTATACTACAAAGCTAAAATAATCCAAACAGCATGGCACTGGCAGAAACATAGACACACAGACCAATGGAACAGAACTGAGCCCAAAAATAAACCCACACGTATATGGGCAACTAATTTTTGACAAAGGAGCCAAAACATACAATGGAGAAAGTAAAGCCTCTTCAATAAATGGTGCTGAAAAAATTGGAGAGCCACATGCAAAACAATGAAACCAGACGGCTGTCTGACACCATGCACAAAATTAACTCAAAATGGATTAAAGACTTGAAATATAAGACCTGAACAATAAAATGCATAGAAGAAAACACAGGGACCAAACTTACGCCCCTTAGTCTCAAAGCGGTTTTTGTGAACTTGACTCCAAAGGCAAGGGAAGTAAAAGCAAAAATAAATGAATGGGACTATATCAAAATAAAAAGGTTCTGTACAGCAAAAGCAATAACCAACAAAACAAAAAGGCAACCAACCGAATGAGGGAAGATATTTGCAAACGATAACTCCCATAAGCGGCTAATATCCAAATTATATAAAGAACTCATATAACTCAAAACAAAACAAAACAAAAAAATAATCTAATTTTAAAAAGTGCAGAGGACCCGAACACTTTTCCCAAGAAGACCTATAGATGGTCAACAGATATATAAAAAGATGCTCAACTTCAGATATATGAAAACATGCTCAATGTCATTAGCTATTAGCGAAATGCAAATCAAAACCACAATGAGGTACCACGTCACACCTGTTAGAATGGCTACAATCAATAAGACGAGAAATAACAAGTGTTGGAGAGGATGTGGACAAAAGAAACCATCGTACACAGCTGGTGGAAATGTAAACTGGTGCAGCCACTATGGAAAACAGTGTGTAGATTCCTCAAAAAATTAAGAATAGAGCTACCATTTGACCCATCAATCCCTATTCTGGATCTACCCATAACATTTGAAACCATTTATCCATAAAGATATATGTAACCACCACTGCAGCATTATTCACGGTGGCCAAGACATGGAAACAACCAAAGTGTCCTTCGATAGATGATTGGATAAAGAAGATGTGGTACATATACACAATGGAATACTCCTCAGCCATAAAAAAAATGGTGAAATAGTGCCATTTGCAACAAATGGATGGATCCTGAGAGAATCATGCTAAGTGAAATAAGACAGATGGAAAAGAACAAGAACCACTCATATATGGAATATGAAACAGAAAGCAACAACAAACAAACAAACAAACCCAAACAGACAACGGTATGGTGATTACCAGAAGGGAAGTGGGGTAGGATGAAGAGGATAAAGGGGGTCAAATATATGGTGATGGAAGGCGGCTAGACTTTGAGCCCATGATGCAATATACAGATGATGTATTATATATTATAAAATTATATACCTCAAGCTTATATAATGTTATTAATCAATGTTATCCCAATAAATTTCATTTTAAAAAAGTACAGAGTTCCCACATAGCCCTTGCCCCTCCACACACAGACTTCCAACACCCCACACCAGTTGGGGCATTTGTTAACAATAAACGAACATGGACACATGGTTATCAACCAAGATCCCAACAATCCTTCACACTTTAATTCTCATAATTCCCTCACATGACCCTTCCAGGCCAGCCCAACCAGTTTACTGACTGTCCTGTGACATCGCATGGGACATAACTAGTTACTCTTGTGTCGAGGTCCCGTCCCACTGACATTTCCTTAGTCGGGAAGACTTGAGTGTTCTCCTCTGATGACCTCCCAGACCTGGCTCAAGGCTAAAACTTTGGAAAGAATGTTTCTGACCCCACAAGCCCACAGCACTCCCGGCCATCTCTAAACATCCTGTAACAGAGAAGGCCTAATAATTTACATCACAGCAGCGGAGATGTTCCCAAGGGGGTTACCACCAAGCAGACAAGACGTAGTTGTGAGTGTTAATTCTGGAATGAGTATTAAACTTCAATTAGACAAGTGTGCTAAGCATCAGCTAGCTTTACAGTTGTATTATATCTCATTACCATTATTTCTACATTACGAATGCATCTTAGTGCTAGAAGAGTATGGAACCTAGCTCTTCCAATGTCATACAATCCAACTAGCTGCCTGATAGTCTGCGATCTTTCTCTCCTTAGAAAAACTGACTCCGTAACGCATCACCTACCCTTTGCAAGCTGCGGGGTTGAGGAAGACGGTGGCCTTCTTCACTTGTGCATTGGGAGGGATGAGTTGGTTGCCAAACACCTGAAAAGGAAAAAACAAAACTTTTAAGTCAATGTCTTTTTATTCAGTTAGTGATCGCATATATTCTTTCATTCCGAAAGCATTTACTTTCAGCAGATACGATATCTACTCTGAAGGGGAAAATGTTCTTTTATGATTTCATATGAACAAAAACATCATAAACAATATGAAAGTGTACCATGTATTCAATAAGCTGAATTTTGTATTGTAATAAAAAACCCTGCATCACCTACTAGAGGTAAGTAACTTTTGTTTACTTACCTGTAGTTTATAATGTTTATTATAAACACACAACAAGTAGTCTGACAGAAGGGAAGTTGAATCCATTTGTCTTTAGTTTTCAGAGTATAATCTTTTTCTACTTCAACTTATTACTAAAGCTTATTCATGAAGAATCTTTGTGTTAGCAATTAATCTTCCTCTCTTTGTATATATACTCATATATAAAATAAGCCTGATACTCTGTTTGCCTCTTCTCTGCCACCTTGTATGATAATTAAATAGCACCCACTGGCACAGGAACAGAAATGTCATATTTGCTAAGCACCTACTATTTTCCGTTTTCACACACATTGTTCTTAGTTCTCAGAAACCTAGGAAGTATTTAAATAGTCTCATTTTAATAGATAAGAAAACCAAGATTCAGAAAGATTAAGTCAATCAAAGTCACACTGTTATAAATTACAAGCCTATAATTTACACCTAACTCCAAAACCCAAACCTTTTCTACTCTATCAGCTCTGAAGGGCAGATAAAGGATGAGGTAGAATTAAGCCTACTGAGGTCTGGGTGTGAAAAGTCAGAATGGGAACTCATGGGAACTACTGTTATTACATCTGGATCGGAGAAGATCAAAAAGAATGAGACTAGGAAACACCAAAAAGGGCAAAATTTCAAGTCTTATGTGGTGAGGAGCAAGTCTGGGCCAAGAAGACAGAATTCAATACAAAGTAAAGATAGGAAAAAAAATGATAATTATAACAAGATTTATTAAATAGCTGACTAAATCCACTGGCACCGTGACAGTCTATGGGAGGTCCTTCTCACCACTGTCTAGTTCTTGCTTAAAAAAGCAAACTTTTTCTGAATATTTCAGAAAGATATACTGTTTCTTTGTAAAAGAAAAAAAAATTCTGGTACATAATAATTTCTACTGTTTTCAATTCTTACTGAATTAGACCTTAACATTTTGCTGCCAAATCTCTAAATACTGTAATTTGTTCCTATTCTATCCATACTATTTCTGAAATGTGGCCAGAAGTTAATTAACCAGGTTCTCGTGCTTATCAGATTCCACATCTACAGTTCCAGATTATTCCTCCTTGTCCTGCTTCCTAGTCTCTTGAATTCTAGACCTGCACCTCAAGTCTCAGGTTCACAGTGGGTTAACGAGTTTATGTAAGAATACAGAGGACTGGGCCGGCCGAGTGGCACGATGGTTAAGAGCTGGCTTGGGACACCAGAGGGCCCTGGTTCGGATCCCACATATGAGGGCCAATGACACTGCCCTCTACAGCTAAGATGCTGAGCAACAGCTCAACCTGGAGCTGGGCTGCCGTGAGCCACTGGCGACGGCGTAGGCTGCAGCCCCTGCTGCAGTGAGTTGCCATCGGCTACCATGTGTGTAGCCAGCAGCCAGCGTGAGTGGCCCTCAAGCCGCCGTGATCGGCCGTCCAGAAGCCAACGACTGATCTGCTTCACCCGGGAAGAGCACAATGATGGTGCCAACTTGGGCCAGTGAAGCAACGTCCTCCTCAACTAGACTGAAGAACAAAAGGACAGCAAGTTGTCTGTCCTTCCCCAATTCCCCAATAAAAATCTTAAAAAAAAAAAAAAAGAATACAAAGGACTGAGTTTACAGGTGATAAAAAGAAAATCACATTCTTTCAAGAATTTAGACTGTAAAGGGACGGACATATGAGTAAACAGGGAAAGTAATTAGAAGAACCTATAAGGATGAATTCACTTTCTTTTATCATATAGATAGAGCTAAATTCGTATGTGTTGGGAAGTGGAGAATTACAACAGTGGGAAGAAGTAAATATATAGGGAGGAAGAAATAACCAGAGGAACATGGTCTGAAAAAGTAAGGAGATGGAATTCAGAACAGAGGTGGAGGCACCTACCTCAAGAAAGGGAGGACCCTATGACCAGTCTTCCTCAAAGAGAGAGAAAAAAGGTTCCCCTCCCAAGATTTTCCAGTTGCTAATAGAAAATTAGCTTGGAGTGGGGATCGCCTTGAATTGAATATAAAGGTTATTTGAACTGATTTCCAAAACAACTTAGAGCCATATGAGAGAAACAAAAACAGCAATCAAATTCTGAAAACACAGATTTAGAACAGTGAGATAATCACTAGAGAGAGAAATGTATTAATAGTCTAATGTCCTTGTCATCCGTGAAAACATTTCAGGAACAAACAGGAGGTCTGCCGCCCACACCTCTTACTCAGCGCATTGTACCTTGGCCATCCTGACTTCCTGTTTCTTTTTTGGCATTCCTGACATCATCAACTTAAATGACATTTAACAAAAAGGCAACTCGGTCATGGAAATTCACCTGCAAGGTAGAATGTAATACAAATCTGGAGGGGAGGGAAGAACAAAAATGTGATCTTCTACTTGAAAGGATTCACAATTCAACGGCAACGAACACAGCCCGATACCTGAATATTTAAGTGCGATATCGCAGGACCAGGGTAACAATGCACATGGTATGAATCAATTGTGCTAAAGAGACAGGCTTGAAAAATATGAATCGACAGTTTTAAGGGGATTTGACTTTGAGCGGTAACGCCTGTTCTCCTTGGGGGTTATTTGGATAAGGGGCGACTCAGGGTTTACCCCCATCCTCCAGGACCACTATAGACGTAAACTCCCAGAACTCCAACCAGCGTGTTCTTAGGACTAATGTGGAAGTAAAGAACTAAAAGGTGGGCGTTTACAACTGCTCCTCACCAGATGGTTCACTTCCTCCCGTTCTATTCTGGGTTGGCTCTCAGCCTCATTCATCCCCTGATGGTGGGAAAAAACAGCCAAACTGCACTGAAGCAGGGCCGGTGCAGGGCCCTGGAACAGCCTGAGTCTTCTGCACAATGAAGATAAGGCGCGTTCTCATTGTTTCACATTAAATGGCATTACCTGAGCTTCTTGACAGGCCGCTCTCCTTAGCAGGTTATCACTATCAAAGTAAACAAAAGAGAATGAACATTAGCTTTGATAAGCAGGTTAAAATCCAAACAAATAAAAAAAAGGTTTTTTTTAATATGTACAACTCTTCCCTAAAAAATATCCAAGTGAAAGTTTCTTTAAAGACCTGTAACTAAGCAGGGACACATTTGAACAATACTTTCTCTGAATGAAATCCCGTGTTAAGTATTTCCATGCTATGGCAGGCAGGATAATGTGCCCTGCCCACACCACCCAAAAAAATAAGTCCATATTCTATTTCCCAGAACCTGAGAGGATGTTACTTTACATGGCAAAAGGGATTTTACAGGTGTGATTAAGTTTAGGACCTGCAGATGGGAAGACTGTTTTGGAATATGCCAGCGTGCCTAATCTAATCACAAGGGTCCTTGAAAGCAGAGGAACGTCCTGGCTGCGATCAGCAGCAAGTCTGATTATGGAAGAACGGTCCTCCAGAGCTGCAGCCTTGCTGACTCAGAAGCTGTAAGTCAGGAGCGTGGGTGCCCTCCAGGAGCTGCAAGGCAAGGAGCCTCCAGGAGGGATAAAGGTGAGGTCCTTGACGTCACCTTCATTGTACCCCAGTGAGACCCGCGCTGGACTTCTAACCCACAGAATTGTAACATAATAAATTTGTGTTATGCTAAATCACTAAGTTGGGGATAATTTGTTAGGGCCGCAATAAAACACTGAATGCACCAATCCTGCATTTTTCTTATCCTGTGGAAATTATTCAGGTCATTTGCCAGAAATAAATTTGATGTTTAGTTATTTCTGTTTTATCTAGATCGTTTTTTATATTGCTGTCAGACAATTATATCATATGGAAAATCTTAGCCATGAGGCAAAATTTTGGCTTGCAAAAATGAAAACATTCATGAAATATGTTCATCTATTTAACATAAAGGGCTCTAAATGTGTTTGTCCTTTATACCCCAGGAGCGGTCTAAATGGCTGACTGCCCACAGGGCTCTAGAATCTTCTCCATATAAGAGACATTTCTTATGCCTGTTGCTAAGAGAACTGTTGTCAATCAGGTTGAAGTTCAGAAAACTAGTACCCAGAAAGGATGCCCAATAAACAATTTACAGAAAAAGATTTAAAGGAGAAAAGGGCTATTTCACTTAAATTCTCTTTCTACACCTTTTTCATAATATTTAAAACCCTTTAAATTTTGCATCTTTACAGTAATTCAAATCTAATTTTGATATTTAAGGTTGAACTAAAGAATAAAATAAAATAAGCAATCATGTGCTTTTTGCTATTGCTGCAGTTGAAGGCTGCTCAATGATTTTTCTGCCATAGCCAGGCTGGGGAAGCGTCCCTGGATGCCACAGTCCCTGGATGCCACAGTCCCTGGATGCCACAGTCCCTGGATGCCACAGTCCCTGGGTGCCACAGAGCCGTTAGGCAGCTTCAAGAGGAAGTTCCCATGCTGCCTGTCTCAACCCAAGAACTATGTCCCATTAAAATGACAATGGCACCAGTACCTGCTCTGTAACAAATATCTCAGTCCCAAGGGCACCAGTCCCTTGTGAACGCTAGCTGCCAGGCTGAGTCCCCACATGCTTGAGTGACATGGCTCCACTACTGCCCTGCAGCAAAAGGGACTTAGCTGTACAAACTCTCCCCTCCCCCACCCAAGGTTTATTTTGCTCTCCTCTCCTCATCCCTCTCCATCACTGATTGCTGTCAGTGCATCACTTTAACATCAGCTACACACACACACATGAATACAAACTAGTAAAATATTTTAAAATAATTAACATGTCAACAACCCTTGATAGTTGACTTGATACCTCACATTCATGACCTTCTTCTCAACAACGAGGCAAAATACTGAAGGCTCAGGCACTGCTAGGTCACAAAGGAAAACTAGGCTTTTTGGGAGTCACCTGAGCACTGTCACCAGGTCCCCCTGGACTGGAGTCCACAGCCCAGGTTCCACACCACCCTGGGGGTACCACCTCCAGCCTTGCACAGCTGTGCTCCTCCAACCACGAGCTTTAACGTTTCTTCTAACGGAGGGATGAGCCTGTGCCTCCAACCCCTTATCCTATAGACACATCCTGAGGGCTATTCTGCACAGCCCCCTCTGCTGCTGAGAAAGCTGTGAACCTGCCTCTACACCCCTGTCCATTCCCCTGGCAGTTCCTCCCTCCTACCAGGGTCAGGCCTCCGAAGGCGCCAGGCTCCTTGGGGTCACAGTGCAGACCATGGTCCTCACCGCATTTCAGCCACACTGATTCCTGTAGACCTGGCTGAAAAGAGAACAGCCCCAAATATGTACAAAAATATGGGGTGGTGCCTTGGATCATTTTTCCCTAAATTATTTTTTTGCTAGAAGTAAAATTTGATGGTTAACTTGATTGAGAATATTATTAAAGCCAGCTCTCTTGAGCTTACTAACACCGCCTGATTTTATCAGAGTGCTATTTGAAATCAAAAGATTTTTTGATAGTTAATTTCCTGAATTTTAATGTGCCAAACGGAATATGCTGTCAGTGCCACCTGTGAGAAAGCCAGAATACATATAAATGTAGCTACTACAAAAGAAAATCTCATTATAATCATACTTATTTTTTTTAATATCAAAAATGATGTTAATCATCTTGGTCTTACTCTCTGAGCCAAGCTGTTACTAAAAATCAAATATATCCTCCCACCACTGAGATATTCTGATGGCCTACAGCGAGCTCTACAAACTATTTCCAAAGAGAAATTCCAAAAATGTCTCAGTAATGGCAGCATTATTGGAATACAAGAGAAAATAACTTAAAATTCAGAGAGCAAATACCATGTTCCAGGTACTGTGGCAGTTGCTTTCACAAACCTTGAATCTTTGTACAAACTAGTACAAAGGCCTTGCAAGGCAGGCATTACATTACTGTACAGATTAGGAAGTTGGGGCTCAGAGAAGGGAAGTGACTTGCCCAAGATCACAATGTCTTTAAGTGGCAGAGCTGAGATTCAAATCCTGCCAACCTGACTCTAATGCAACGCTTTAATGCATTTTCATCTTATCATCAGATAATACTGAATGGCCAATAATCATTTGGAAGTACACTTTATGTCACATTTATTAAATTAATCATATTACTTCCGAGTCTCATCTAATACAACTTTTTAGATTTACATTCATATAAGATTTTTATAAGCTCAGTTGCAATAAAACTGCCCAAAGTAGTAGGCGAGAGAAACTCATTTAATACAAAGTGCCAGTAAAGTACAATGAACAAGATTTGGTCGTTTCCTGAAGCAGCTTAGGATTAAGTGGCAAAGAACAACTTTGGTAGATATCAGTGGAACAGTAAAAGACGTGTTTTTGAAAATATGCCAGGCACTGTGCCAGGTGACTGGGATATGCTGGTAAATAAGCCCAACATCCCCCACCTTCATTCAGTTTACAGTGTAGAAGGGAAGAAAGATGATTCCACAGGCAATCACCATGTGATCTGACTTTTATCTGCTCCATAAAAGGGGCACATAATAGGAATAGCTAACCTAGTCTTGAGGGAATTAGAAAAGGCTTTTTACAGGAAGTGGCACTCAGGTTAAGATGTAGGGGAGAAATAACAAATGGCCAGGCAAAAACAGGAAGGAGAATCTAGACAAAGGAACAGCAGGTTAAAAGCCTGCAATTGCTAGCACATGACCGCTGTAGGAAAGGGGAGGTAGTTTGGACAGCGGGAGGCAGCATGCCATGGGCGGGGCCGCGAAAGAGGAGGTCTGGGGGGGTCAGGTACCCCCCAGATCACCAACGGCCTTTTAAGCTATGTAAGGAATTTGGATTTTATCCAAAGGGCCATAAGAAGCCATTAAAGGGTTTTAAGAAGAGAACTGCTGTAACCAGCTTTACTTTTTAGAAGGATCATTCTGGGTGCAGAGTGAACAAGACATTGGTCAAAGGAAGGCTGACTAGGGACCAGGGAGGGTTCTTCAGGAAATGCAGGTCACTGAACGATGAGCAGAGTTAGAACCAGGACCCTGGCAGTGGGGACAAAGAGAAGAGTGCAGATTCGGCAGGTATTTACGAGGTAAACGTAATGGCTGGCTTGTGGAAATTAAAGCAAAGGGAGGGGTCAAAGATGGTGCCCATATTTCTGCATGAGCCATCTGATGGAAGTGGCACTCTTTACAGGGGTGGACTGCAGGAGGAGACACAAGTTTGGGATGAAGGAAGGTGATTTCGTTTGGGACCTGCTGATCTGGGGAGACAGTGGCGAGCATCCAGGGGGAGGTGTCCAGGGGACAGATGGGAATACACGTCTGGGATTCCACTCAGCCCCATCTTGACTAAGGATACCCACGGTGAGAGGAAGGGTGAGGGTGGATAAGATTATCTACGTGAGCAGGGTGAGAAGCATTAACAGAAGCAGCAGGTAGAGATAGCCTGAGCACAGGGACAACTGACAGAAAACACCAAATGAATCTGAAGTAAACTGAGACTGCACCTCATTGGAAAGCCAAAGGAAAAATATGGTGGACAATGGAGGAGGCTAAGCACCATTTTCCTTATCTCCCTTTATGCCTTAATGCTGCCTCTATTCATGGCAAACTCCATGTTCTGCTGTTCCTAAAAGACACAGTGATTTACCCCTCCATGGATTTGATAATTTCATCCCCTCCCCCTTTAAGAAACAGGAGACCAAACACAACAGCAAGCCCTTAGCCTACCACACGCAACAAAATTGATTGCCTTAGCTTTCTTCCTTGATTACAACTGTCTTGAAGTCATGGATAATTTACCATTTCTCTTCCACAGCATACAGCACAGACTCTTGTAGATAGAAGATACTCAATAAACACTGTTTAATAAATAAGTGGCAAATGTTTGAACAGGAGAGACTGACTCACTGTGCTCACAAGTAGACTTTGTCCTGTAGGAAAAACTGAAGGTTATTTTTTGAATGAGTATTTGGCTTTTTAAAAAATTTTATTTTATTTTATATTTTTCAATTACATTTGACATGCAATAATATGTTAGTTTCAGGT